CTTTTACTTACTTAACTTAACTTAACTTAACTTAACTTAACTTAACTTAACTTAACTTAACTTAACTTAACTTAACTTAAATCAAAATATAATCTACAAAATACATTTTTGAAAACTTAATTCCAAAAAAAAAAGAATGAAATAAAAAATATCAATTAAAAATTTCAAATTGATTGTAAAATCTTTTATTATTACTAAAATAGTTAGCTAGAGGACGATTAAGGTTACATCAATTTTTTTCAAGGATTAAGTGGTTGTGTGAATTTAAATAAACTCATGATTCTGTAAATATTTATTTATAAATTGAATAATATTTTTTCTTTTTGTCAATAGCAAGCAATAAAACTTTAAAAGATAAAACAGAATTTACGACAATAGCTATCTGACTCATTTTTTATTTTATCAATCAACATTTCTTTCGAAGTCCTTCCTGATTCTAATTAAATTTTATTTTTTAAGAATTAAAATCACAAGTCAACCAACAGTTTTATGATAGTTTAGGATTGCTTTAAAATATTCCAGGACTAATTTCTTTAGAATTATAGAAGTGAGATTAATTAATTACATACATTACATTAAATTCCTGACTAACTTACTTACTTACTTTAATACATTAAGTATTAATTAAAGTATTTTTTTATAAAGTTATTAAGATCTAAGCAATTTGAATATATTCACTGGATTAAAAAGATTAAAATATCTTTAGAGCTTGCTTGTTCTATTAAAGTAAAAAAATCATATTAAATTTCAAAAAATATAGAAAATTTTAAATAAATTGTTAAAATATGAAATAAGAGAATTTAACATAAAATTAGCAGAAGATCTAAAACAAATGAAAAATTTAACTAGATTAAGAATCTAACTAATTTTGAGAGTAAATCTTTTTTTAGATAGTTTATTAAATTATATGAATATTAAATATTTATTTTTTATTAATTTTATAAACCATTAGTTAAACTCAATTTGATTTACAAGTATTTTTATCATTTATTGAAACGATTTGCAGCGACTTTGAGAAACTTAAATTTTTAGAATTAGAATTTAACTATTAAATGCAAAGCTTAGCAAATAATTAGTTATTCATAAAAAAGATTAATATGGTAAAAAAAATTAAGAGATTAGTGCATTTGTATATTTAAATATGAAACTACCTATTTAAATCATATTTTAAATTAATTATTTCATAAATATTTGTTGTCATTTTTTTTGTTTAAATGTTGCTTGCTTGCTTGATAGTTACTTATTTATTATTCAACTTTTCTAATTTTTGAAAATATTTTAAAATCCTATAAAAATTGAACTAATTTACTTAATGAAATCTATTTATTTATTGATTTATAATATTATTTATTTATTGCTGAACATTTTTACTATCAAATAATCTTAAATATAAAAAAGTATAATTAATTAACTAACTTAACTTGAGTAAAAATTTAATTTTTTCTTATGACATTCTTCTTTTTAAATAAATAAATAATTGTATATAACTGTTAAATGCATACATATATTTATTTGGTCAATTGTTAGTTAGACAGACTCATTTATAAAATTAAAATATATTTTTAAAAATTTTTATAACTTATAAAAAAATATAAAATATGTATTTTGTGAATTACAACAAATACAAATATTAATAAATCTTATTTATGAATCAATCATACGAAATTGACACAAAATTTGACACCACTTTTAGGTTCAATACATCTTTGATTGAATTTGCAGTCTGAGTTTGAATTACAAGGAGTGGCATCAGTCTTTGATCTAAGCTTTCTTTGAGATTTTGAAGCTGATACTACGCTAAAGACTACGAGAAGCAAAAAAACAAAATAAAGAACTCTCATTTTTAGTGATTGTAATTATGATTAGGATTTTTTAATTGAATTATTATAATATATTTATAAAGATATATCTAGATACTTATGCACTTTTATAGCCAAGAAAAACATGATAAATAGATAGATATATAGATATTTATATGGATTAATTTATTTTAGAAGTGATTTTTGCCAGGAAAATAGATATACTAACTAATATAGAAAATAAATCAATAGATCAAATTTCAAAAAATGATATGATTCATATTAATGTAGACATTCATTTTTTATTAAATATATAATTAAAGATATTTATTAAAAAGGTTTTTTAAGTTTATTTGAATCTAAAATAAATCCAATAAATGAATAAATTTATTTTTTTGAGAGAAAGTAATTCTTTTGATTGCTTTGTTCATTAAAAAATATGTATATATGTATGTATGCTATTTCTTAAATTATTTAAAAATTTATAATGAAAATAAAAAATACAAAAATAAAATGCAAGCATGAAAGAAAGAAAGAGCAAGAAAAAAGTAAAAATCTTTGTCAAATTTTTTATAAAATCTTCTTTCTGAATTTTATTTAGCATATGTTTAATTTACATTTCAATAATTTGTTTACTTTCTTAATTATTTGATTTATGATATTCAAGCAATTCTTTGTTCAAATAAATAAATGACCTAAATTTTTTTATCTTTTTGCTTATGATAATGATGAAATTTTTCAGCTAGTATAAATTTGATGAGACACAAAAAACTCAACGATTATTTAATTTTAACATGTTTGATGTTAATAAAATTAATTTAAGATATCTTAGTATAAGTATATTATTATTACAATAGTGAGTTTTTGCTTCATTAAAACTGCATCTAACTTTTAGAAAATTCATAAATATAAAACAAGCATTATTTTCTATATTTAATCAATCTAAATTACAAATTATATTTAATTTCATTTATTTTTGATTAGATTTTAAATACAAATTAAATTATTTATTTATTTATTTATTAATTTCTAGTGTTAAAAAAGTAATTCAACTATGTAAAAACCACTCAAATAAATGAATAATATACTATTTAAAATACTATCTATAGCAACGAATGAAATATTCGTTATTATTCAAATTAATAAAATTTCTCTGAATTATTATTTTTGATATTTGTTATCCTCTCACTTCATTTATTTATTTGTACTTCCTTCCTTGCATTTTTTTTATTTCAAGTAAAAAGAAATATTAAAATATTTTGTGATTGTATAAAGAGAAGCTAGCATATATAGATAGATTTTTAAGTAAAATAATTACTTTTGAATTTGAGATAAACAAACATATTGATGTGTAAAGAATTTGAATAGGTTTACTATTAATTTTTACAAATACATGAAAATATATCATTCAACCAATCAATAAATCAATTATCATATTCCACTTTAACATATTCATATAAATAAACACATTTGTAGACTAATCTTTTCACTTTTTGTATTCTTGTTTTTAATATCCGTTCTGTTGTAAAATCATATTCCTTAAATCTTTTTAATATATAAAAATAAATTGTTCGTTCACAAATTTTAAAATATCTTCTCTCTATAAAATGAAGTTTCAAATAATATGAACTGATTATATTTAACTAAATAATAACCTAAAAGGGTTGTTAAAATAAATAATTAAATAAATTAAAATGTTTTAAAATTAAAAAGTCAGCCTCAAATTCTAAATATTAAGTAATAAATAACAATTTATTATTTATTTACCCTACTTCAAGAAACAAGGTTGATAATTTTAGGCAGCTTTATAAGCCTTGAATCAAGGTTAAGACTCCTTCATTTTCAATATTGTTATAACTTAAAACAATGAATTAATTAATTAATTATCTTAGTTTTGAAATATTTAAGCAATAGAAATAGTAAAAAAATTTAAATCAATTTACAAACTTAATCATAATAAATAAATATAAATAAATAAATAAATAAAGTAATTTGAATATTCTACGATATTTTGAGCTTTAATTCCAAGAGGTTTGTGCAGCTTGCTAAACCTAAGCCTATGAATTTAAGGCTATTATCATTCATATTATTATTACTATTTATTTATATTAAAAATTTTGTTTTTAAAAATAAAAAATAAAATCATAAAATAATTATTTAATTCATTAATTAATTAATATTTCTCAAATTTTAAATATGAAAATTATTTTAAAATAAAAAATTAAAATCAATAAAGTTATATAAAAAATTAAATTAAGACATTTACAATAAATCTAGTTTCAAAATTTATAGCTAAACGCATTTGGAAATGTTTGTACTAAATTCGAACACTCCTTTATCTCCAACATTAACACAACTATATAGTAATCATTTTAAAATAACTATTAAAACCAATTATTAAAAAAAATTTATCTAAATAATTAGTAATTTATTATATAAATCTATCTATCTATATTTATTTTTACCACATTAAAGTTTAATCTAGTTTAATTAACAATTTATTTACTTAACAAGCAAATTTAGTTTTATTTTCACATTAATTTACTTATTTGTTTAGTAAGTAACTTTTATTTGTTTAATAAGTATCATTTTTATTTATTTATTTATGTAGTAGCATTTTAAAAGTTAGTTAGCTAGTTAATTTTTTGATATTTGTGTTTTTGCTTTATATACATTTAATTAGAGTTATCAAGAAAATAATAAAATGTTTGATAAATATTATTATTTACAATAAGTCTAGATTCAAATTAGTGAGATGAATACATTTTACTAATGCTGAAGATAAAGCTGAAATACCCTCATTTCCTATCGGACAATATCTTTTATAGATAGTTGTGATAAGTTAAAATATTTTATTAAGAAATAAATTTAAATTGAATAAGGGATAAACTGTGAAACAAAATAAGAAATAATAAAACAAACATAAATAATGTAAATTGAAACATAAGTTAAATTTATAAAAAAAACAATTTTTACGATAAATTTAGATATAAATTTGATATTTTAGAGCAACTCGCTAAAGCCCTGCCTAAATTTTACACACCTTTTAATCTTATTTTATTATTCCTTTTGATATCATTTAAATAAAAATTTATTTTTTAAACATTCTTTATTTAAAATAAGCAAGCAAGCAAGTAAGCAAATTGATTATTTAATTAATTAATTAATTAACTTCTTTTTTAATTTACAAAAAATCAGTTCTTATAAAATAATAATTTTAATTATTATAATTAACTAGATATTTAAATAAATTACCAAAGGTCCAGCTTCAAAATAGATAGATTTTTACTACAGTTGACTAAGGTTTAGCTTAACTTTGATATGAGCTTGTCTTCAATATTATTTGCTCTTTTCATAAATTAAATTAATGCATAATTAAATAAATAAATATTATTCATTAAAATTTAAAAAATAAAATAATTTATTTACAAAATATTTGTTTTAAAAAAAATGAAAATTTAAATAGTAAATTAATAAATAAATAAATAAATAAATAACTAAAAAGTTGATTTTAATTTACTTTAGATCAAGCGTAAGAGTTGAGAGGTTGACACACTTATCTAAAAGAGAAAATAAAACTGAAAAATCTTCTTTTAGATATTATAAATTGTTCCACCTTTAAATAAATAAATTAGAATTATTTATTTATTTTTTAATTGTTTTAAATAAAAGCTATAAAAGAATAAAATAAATAAAAATAATATATTTATATTAAAAATAGGAAGAATAATTGATATGATTTATATTAGTTATTATAAAATTTCTAAATGATAAATTTATTTACTTAAAAATGTCTTTCTATACACTAATAGTAAGTTAGGTGTGAGAATCCAATGAAGATTTTTACAGCTTTGAATTACAAAAAAAAAAATATATTTTGGAATATTTTAATGATTATTGATTACTTCTCTTACATCTCTAAAGTATTAATCTTATAAATAAGATTCTTTTTCTTGCTATTGTTGTTGTTTGTTCCCCATAAAAATTTTGTATTTACCTTTTATCTTATTTTTATGTAAATTAATAATTTTAAAGAAAGTTGAAACTATAATATTCATTTATTTATTTAATTAATTTTGCTAAAATAATAAATTATAGTAAATCTTCATGTAGCTTTCAAGCAGGATGATTATATTTAATAACAGTAAGTTAAATTTGAGAAGCAATATATATAATATTTTTACACCTTTATTAAAAAAAATTTGATATATTTAATGCTTTTAATCATTATTAATTAATTACTATTCTTATATCTCTACAGCATTTTTAGTTTTATTAAGATTCTTTTGTTGTTATTGTTTATTTATTTATTTACTATTTTATTTAGTTAATTATCTAATAAATTATTTAAATTAAAGATACTTTTTATGATAATTTTATATAAATTAATTAATTAATATCTTTTTTAAACATTTTAAAGAAAAACTAAAATTAATTTTTATTTATTTAATTTTCTTAAAAAATTTAATATATATGAATGAGTAAACTTTGAAGTAGCTTTTTAAACAAGCAAGATGATTGATTATGTTTAAAAATTATAAACTGTTTTTTTCTTCCTAATCGTTTAATTCAAAATAAAGAATATAATTTATAAATAATTTATTACATAATTAAGTATAACTTTTAAGTAAACCCAAACTGAATATAATTGTTTGTTCATCATTCATTCATTCGTCACTTTACACATTAAGAACATACTTTAAGAATAAAGAATTTTTGGAATGTAAAATTTGATCTAAACAATCTTATTTTTTACAATATTTAAAATTGAGTTAGTTAGTTAGTTTGTTATTTATTTATTTAAATATGTTTAACAGATAAATTTTGGCAAAATTTTGTATAAATTTAGTTAATTTTTAAAATATTTTTCCTAGTTAATAAAAGTTTCTTATTTACATAAAAAATATGTTTTAGAATTTATCCTTTTTTATATTAAACAAAAAGAATGAAGGGAATGAACTAAAGAAAGTATTGAGTTAGGTTTTAGATTTCTAAGTGATTTATTATTTATCAACTTTGTTTATTTGCTAATTAATTTTTACTTGTTTGTTTATTAGTTGATTTTGTAATTAACTCAAAATGACTCTAATAATTTGAAAATTTGAAAATTGAAAATACTACTATTAATTTACTTTATTTTTTATAAAAAAATGCTCAATTTTCTTAATTAAGATATAAAAATTTTTAATTTAACAAAATATTTTACAAAATGCAAATGAAAAAAAGAATAATTGTAAAAAATCCTTAATAAGAGTAGAAGTCTATTTAATAAATTGATGTCACTTCTCTTTAAAAGGCCTTTGATCTTGAATAAAATTGTTTGAAATCAGAATAAACTTAATCTTAAATAGGGTTATAAGGTCATAAGGGTTCTGAGAAGGAAATGCAAAAGTCTAAAATAGTTTTAAATGGAAATTTGTAAAGCAAAAAAGAGTAATTAATTTAGACAAACAAAAATGATATTAAAGTGAATTAAATGAATACCAACGAGGTTATTGACAAAAATAAATAGCTAACTAATACAAAAGAAGAACAATATCTGAATTAGCCTCATCTAAATCTTTTAAAAAGTGAGAAAAAACCTATTAATTTTACAATATCTAAATCACCAAAACCGCATGCATAATAAAATAATACATAAAATATTTAGAAAGTTAATGAAAGCATTGGTTCTTTTAAAAGTTCAAGCGTCATTTCAGGCGATGTCTAAAAAGTGAGTGATTTCTAATCTAAAATGAATAGTCATACAAGCTAATCTTAAGAAAGAAAAAATATTACTGATAAATAAGAGAAGTATAATTGCTAATAAACAATCTTAGTAGAAGTTAAACCTGTTAGTCAAGTAAAAAATGTTTAAAAGAAGAGCTAATTTTTAATTGAAATACCCTCTTTAGATAGTAACGAAAAAGCATAATAAGATAACCACAAAATGAAAGAGGATACTCTTAATAAATCATTTTGTTCATTTAGCACAGGTACGGCTGCAGTTTAGATTTAACAAAAATAAAGTTTAAATAAATCATTTACTCATAATATATTTAATGATTCAATAAAAAATGATAAAAAACAATAAGATTTAATTAAGAGAATACTACCAGAGGATATATCATAAATAGAAACTTAAAAAGCAGGATTAAGAGAATTACATTAGAGCAAAAACAAGAACACATTAGATGTATAAAGCAGCAATTAAAGCTTTTTCAGCAATAACTAATTGAATCAAAAAATGGGTAGTAATAAATAATAGCTTTAATAGAATAATATGAAGTAGTTAAGCTAGAATATTAATGATAATTAAGCAATTTAGCAATAAAACTAGGAAAAGCTAACAAATCCTTTGTTGGAATCTAAAATAAGTTAAAAAAATATCTAAAACAGAATTGGCTAGCAAGTCTTTTAAGAGAAATAATTAATTTTGTTAGAAAATGTAGATAAAAGATCAAGCAGTTTAGAGGATGCTAAGCAGATCAGTAATCATTTCAATTCAATTAATAAATTAGTCAAGAATAGCTTTGAATCTGCAAATCTGTAATAATAACAAACATAGCCATTTTAGAATTAAGCATAAGCGGCTAATAAGTAGAAGATAAACTAGAAAAAACGTAGAGAAGATAACAATGATAAACTGGATAAACTTATGGATGAGCTTATAAAATTGAATTAGAATAAACAAAATAAAAATCATTTCAATTTATAAAAGAAATAGAAAATCAATGAGCAATAAGTTAATTAAGACAATGAAAAGTAATATAATGAGTAAGACCTTTTGAGCTTGAAGTAAACCAAACTTAACTAAATTTTCACAAATTCGCTTTAAAAGAGTGAAATTAAAAGTGAATAATAAGAAACTAAAAATTAAACTAAAAAGTAGTCAAGGGAAGAGGAAAATTCAAAACTCTAAACTAGAAAATATCAATAAAGAAACGAGTTCGAATATAATACCTAAAATAATTAGTTATAAAAAAGCTAGTAGGATATTTTTGTTTAGCAAAAATAATTATAAAGAAGTACTTAAAATAATAATAATAATAACAACCAAAAAGAGCAGCTTAATAACCAAGAAAGTAGCTTGATTAATAGCAGTTTCAACAACATTAAAGGTTAAATATCTTAGAATAATTTAAATTAAGAATAAAAAAATCTTTAGTTGTAGATGCTAAAAGCGAAATAAAACATCAATAATTGTATTAACTAAATTTTAGATAAATCTAATTAAAAAGATTCAGATCTGAATGTCATGGTTGCTGGAAATATTGTTAGAGATGATATTTAAAAGAATTAAATTGTTATTGGAAGCAATGAAAAAATATATTCGATTGCTAGCAGTAATGAAGGTTTATGCGAAATATTAGAGTAAGATGTTAATTTATAAAAAAGCAAAGATTCAGCAATTAATTTGGTTTGTTAGAATTAATCAAGTTTATCAACTTAAAATTTAGAAAGCAAAGAAAAATAATAAGATTAATAAAATTGTATGATAATACAAATAGATAGCTCAAAGAGCTTGGAAAAAGATCAAATGGAAATTGAAAAAGAAGATAACAAACAAGCGATTGCTACTCCTTTAGCTGAGAATAATCAAATGATGGAGAAAAAACATGCATTAGAAATCGAAATTAAGAAAATAAATCATGCTATTAAGTCTTTGGGTAAGAAAAAATTGAGCTTTTTGAAAAATAGAGAAAGGAAAATATTAAAGTTAAAATCATATCTAATAAGATAAAAAAATTAAATTGATTAATAGCTTAAATAATACAACACTTAAAAACTCAACCAATTTATTAAGTAGAAACAAGAGCTGCAATAAAAAATGTTAGAAGAAATGCTTAAAAAACAGTTAGAGCAACAGCTAAATTAAGTGCAAAATAAAAAATCTTATTTCCAAAAATAACTAAAAAAGTGCTAGTTTGTTGTTTAGAATGAAGTTAATTTTGATAATTATATTGTTATGGAAAATTAAAAGCGAGAAACAAAAAAAAGAAAATAAGAGGAAAAAGATTAACAAGATAAATAAAATAATCAATCAAATATCAGCTAATCAAATCTTGATATGACTAAATCTGATCAAAATTCTGAAAATAAATTACTTCCCCAATAAAATTGTGACAACAATGATAATTATTAAGACTAACAAATAATTAATGTTGAAAAATAAGTCTAAATTGAATAAGATAGTGTCATTTAATAACAAAACCAAGAAATATTAGCTGTTGATCAATAATAAAATGTTCCATTAAGAGAAAACTGCCATTCATAAAGCGAAAATTCAAAGGAGAGAACTGAAAATAACACAAAAGATTTTACAATTTAATAAGAAATCTAAATAAATTAAGATAATTAAATTTAAATAGAAGAAGAGGAAATAAAATCAAGGAATTTATCTGAAGAAAATAATGATTAGCAATACATTTAATTTAATTCTAGCAAGAATGAATAAGCTCAAAATGCTTCACCAATAAGTACTAATTAATCTTGTATCTTAATCGATAGTAGTTCTTAAGCAACACCAGAAGTGGAAGGAAAGTATTAAAATAACAATAACCTAAACAAAGTGAACCAATACTCTTCTAATATTAATCCATCCGAAAACTCAAACAAGTACAATTGTGATTAACATCCTACCATAGAAAGCTCAGTTTAAAATTTAAAGGTTTAAAATTCTGTACAATAAAAGCAAAAATAAAAAATGGGTTGCGATTTAGATAAAACTTAAATTATAAATGTCGAAATAGAAAATAATATTAATATTAATGAGGGAATTGAAGAAGAAAATTAAAAAAATATTTAAAATGATAAGATTCATCAGAAATAATTAGAAATTCCTTAAATAGGAGATGAGGATATCTTTGAAAGCAGAACTGATAAATAAAAGAAATGTATTTAAGAAACAGTGATTATAGATGACCTATTTGAACCTGAAAATAAGATAACAAAACCAAAGGGAAAAGAATAAATAATTTGTACTAGTTTTAGCAGTAGTCAAGAAAACTTAAATAATGATCAAAGTTCATCTTAAATTAATTAGGATAAAAAATTTTAAGTTATAGTCATAGATGATTTGTTTATAGACAGATAAATTGGCTTTAATAAAGTTTAGGAAAACATTAAAAACAGCACTTAATTATAAAAGCAAGAAAAAAATAATTAGTTACCATTAAAAATATAATAAGATTAATAAGCTGTTAAAAGTGAAAGCAAATAGGAAAAGAAAATAAAAAAGAAAATGCAAGAGAATTGGTTTCAAACAATTATTTCACTGATTAAAACGTGCTCATATTTCGGTCTATCTGGATACTATCACACTATCTACAAGATGCAAGAATAATAAGAACTAGAGTCTTAGAAATAAGTTTGTTAAGAACTTGATTTAAACTAATCAAATCAATTTAATATGTCAGGCAGAGTCTAAACTAGTAATCAGTAATATACATTTAGTTTTTACAAGCATCCAGACAATCTTAACAACAAATAATCTTAACCTATTTCAAATAATGATTAATAAATTAACCAAAATTTATCTTTGATTCGAAATAAGTAAATTTTTGTTTCAAATAAAGACAGCTGTGTAAGCTCATAACAACCTAAAATAATAACTTTAAAGAACTTTATAATTAAGAAAAAAGAATAATAGAATGAAGATTATTAAAATTAAGCCACTATTTCAAGTTAAAAAAAATAAAATAATGATATGGATTTGCAAAATGAAGAGACTGAAAAATTAAATTGCTAAAAAGCTATGACTAAATCATCACCAAAATTAATTAGATTAACTTAACCTATTAAACACTTTAAAATTATTAAAAAATGAATTTTTCTTTGAAATTATTTTGATTTTATTTGTTTAATTATTTGTAAATTCTTTTGGTTTTTTAATGGAGTTATTAATAATTTTTCCTCCCTTTTTCTTTTATTTTTTTAAATCACTTTATTTTTCAAAAATAAAAAAAATACTTATCCATTTAGAATTAAATTAGTTTTTATTATATTCATAAAAAATCAATATTTATTAATATATCTAATTTGTTTGCCTTTCATTAAGTAATTACTCACAAATTTATTTCTAATTCTTATCAAAGAAACTTTAATTACATTAAATTCTCTCAATTTTAAATTTAGACTACTATTTAGCCATCTTACCTTAATAATAATATAAAAACTGATTATAATTAAATTAATTAATCATATATCATTCCTTTACCTCATGATAAATGCTATGAATCTATGTAAATATTAGTTTTACAAAATAAACTAATCAATAAAATGTGTTCTCTTACTTTATACATACAAATCAAATTAATCACAATTATATTTAATAAATTAATTTTAAGTCTAAAATTTTTAATAGAGCAAATTTAAAAAGAATTTATTTCAATTAATCTATTTAGAAAAATATTTATAAAAGTAAATTCCATTAATAGGAATAAAAAACACTGTTCATAATTTTATAAAAACTGATAAAGATTTATCTTAAAAGATGTGTTTTAAATTATTTTTCATATAATTTCCATAAAATCCCTTATATATGAAGGTTTGTACTTTATTTAATCTAGTAAATATTAATTGAAATATATTAAAGAATAGATATAAAGTTTTTAGATATTCATTTTAATCAATTTTCAAATCATTAATATATTAAAATATAAAGCTAACAGACAAAAATTGATTTTTATTTATTACTTTTTTAAAGGTTTATCTGTTAAAATTTTAAACTAAACCTCAAATAAGAACTACCAAACATAAAAGTAATTAGATTATTGGTAAAATATAAGTGGAAGAAGTAGTGCTGGTAGCACAAACATTAGTAGCAGAGCCAGCAGGAGAATTTTATCCATCTGGGCAAGGAGTGCATCCACTAGCACCTGAGGTAGTCGGAGTGCCATAGAAGTTGGCATTACACTAGCAAACAGGAGGATTATCTGTGCTTAGCGAAGCATTAGCATCCATACAGGTGCAAGAAGCAATTACAGTTGAACCAGCATTAGAAGTAGTTCCAGTAGGACACTAAGCACATCCGCTGGGGCCAGTAGTAGTAGGTGTACCATAATAGTTAACATTGCACTAACAGGCAGTATTTACACTGTTAAAGGAAGAATTAACATCGCTGCAAGAACATTAACTTAATAAGGTGGAACCTGCAGAAGAATAAGCTCCAGTTGGACAAGCATTACAGCCACTAGCGCCAGAATTAGTAGGTGTACCATAGAAGTTAGCATTACATTGACAAGCAGTATTTCCACTGTTGAGGACAGCATTAGTATCATTGCAAGTGCATGAAGTAACAGCTGTTGAACCAGCAGTTGAGGAAGTACCAGTTGGGCATTGAGTACATCCACTTGCACCTGAATTAGTTGGAGTACCATAATAATTAGCCATACATTAGCAAGCAGTATTTCCACTATTAAGAACAGCATTACTATCATTACAAGCACATGAGGATACAGCAGTTGAACCAGCACTAGAGGTAGTACCAGTTGGGCATTAATTACATCCGCTGGCGCCAGAAGTAGTAGGTGTACCATAAAAGTTAGTCTTACATTAGCAAGCTGTATTTCCACTATTGAGAACAGCATTAGCATCATTACAAGTGCATGAAGTAACAGATGTTGAACCAGCAGTTGAGGAGGAACCAGTTGGGCATTAGTTACACCCACTAGCACCAGTATTAGTAGGTGTACCATAGAAGTTAGCATTACATTAGCATGCAGTATTTCCACTGTTGAGGATAGCATTGGTATCATTGCAAGTGCATGAAGTAACAACTGTTGAACCAGCAGTTGAGGAGGTACCAGTTGGGCATTGAGTACATCCACTTGCACCTGTATTAGCAGGGGTACCATAATAGTTAGCCTTACAAACACAAGCTGTATTTCCACTATTGATGGTAGCATTAGAATCATTACAATTACAAGCGCTAATTGTAGTTGGGCCAGTTGCTTGAGCAGAAGTAGATCCAGTTGGGCATTATTAACAAGAACCACCTGGGTTTACATCCGAAGAAGTACCATAATAACCAGCATTGCATTAGCAAACATTTGAGCCATCAGCTGTAGCATTAGCATCACTGCAACCATTAACTGTTGCTATTATTGCAAGAGAAATAAGAATTAAAGATGTTGCTTTCATGTTTATTGGATAGATTTTTTTAATTGTAATTTTTTTTAATTAAATTTTTTTCAATTAATTTATGGCTACAACTATTTAATTTGAAACCTGAATTAGAAAGAGGTTATCTATTTGAATATTTGAATTAAAAATCAAAATAGAAATTCAAAAGGAAAGGAAAGGGTAGGATAATTTCTAAAATCAAGATTTATTTCATTTAGTATAAAGAAGCTGAGGGGGTAAGAAAATTAACAATTTATGATTTTTTTATCACTTTAAATTTAATGAAGGAAAATTATTTATTTATTTTTGAAAAGCTAGTTTATTTAAAACTATTGTATAATTCATTTGTTAAAAAATAAATAATTTAAAATTATCAGCATAAAATGATTATTATGTTACTTTATTTAAATTATTGCAGTCTCAATAAAAAATTCTTTTGGTTACTTAGAAATGTTTATAAATTAATTTTCTTAAGAAATATTCATAAAATGATACGTGATTAAAAAAATAATAGAAGAATGATGATATATATTATTTTACATGTTTTAGAGAAATCTATCATCTAAAGTAAAAGATTTAATTTAGTATCTAAATTAAAGAAATAAATATTGATATATCTATTTATGTATATACATCTAACTATCTATCTATTTCTCAATTAGTTATTTATATTTGTAAATTTCAGCTTAAATTGAATTAAGAAAGTGTGATTTTAATATAAATCTAAGTATTCAATTATATTGGATATGCATATAAGCTTTTAAAATCATTTTTATTATTAAACTGATTTATTTATAGATGAACGCTTTTATATTTTTAAATTAAAAATGTTTAGTTATAGATCAAAGATTTTTAAATAAATTTAACATAAAGTATCAAAAAATCAAAGCAAAAAATGAATAGATTTGTTTTAGGTATCTTGTCAAAAATTTATTTACATATAATAATAATAATAATCAAATTTTCTTCTAAAAAGTAAAATTTTATCCCGGACAAGTAACAAATAAAAAGTAGAAAAATCGATAATGCTAGTAAATATCAATTTTAAATTTAACTCAATTGTAAATATCAAGTCTAATTGATTTTCAACAAAAATTAAGGTTATTTATCACTAAAATCATATTAGGAAAACATGTTTAGTAGATATTTGATAACTTTTTAAAGAAATGTATTTTATAAATTTTAGAAAAATTTAGTAGTATTTTTGTAAAACAAATGTATTTTTCTGATAAAATATTAATAAAATTTGTCTTCTATGCAATATAAAAGGAAAATTTAAAATATTACTTATTAATTTAATTTCTAATAATAGATAAAAAATAATCTAAAAATTTCAGGTAAAAATTAAACAAAAAAATTATTAACTTTTTGATAACAGGTAAAAAAAGGTATGAAGACTATATTAGTATCTAAAATAAAAAATAGAAAATCTCTTTATAATTTCTTCTACATTTAGTATATATGTTAGTATATATATTAATATATAAAATTATTTTATATTTTTAAACTGGTTTAAACGAAAATCTATCTCCTTTTAATATTTAAATTTGTCATTAAGTTTTATATTTCATTTGAATAGCCTATTTTTAGAACATATAATCTAAATAAAAATTTCTAAATAATTATATAGCCCATTTAGAATGTGAATTTAATTATCCTTGATGTAAAATTTAACAGTTTATATAACTAAAAAATGTATTTTTTTGTTTGATGTTGTTAATTATTTTAATAAATATTTAAAAATAAAATAAAAAAACAAGTTCAAAGTTATTAAATTATTTTATCTACACTTTATTATCAAAATTTGTTTGATACACATCAGACCATATTTTACAACTAATACAACGATATATTTGAAAAATAAGTAATTTAGGAGCCGAGATAGTGTATGAAATTATTTACCAAACTAAAAATTATTTATTAAAATTTAAAAAATGTAAGATAATTAAGTGATTTAGAGATTCTCCCTATTTAAGTCTACCAATATTCTAAAATGAATTATAATAAATTTCATATTATCGATATTTGCTCTAAATCTAACATATTTAACATCTTTATAGCTTAAAGTATTATAAATTTTTTTTCTATTCTTCATTTTAAATTGAAAAAAAAACAAGAGTAAGATTAAAATTGATTGAATATTAAATTTTATTTTCTAACTATAATAATTAGAATCTTTTAAATTATTTTTTTTTCAAAAAACTTTTTCAAGTAAATATTCGTTATTGGATATTAAATTTTTAGCATTAAAGTTTTCAAAAATAAGTAAATAAACAAGCGAATATGGAAATAGAAGTTAGATGGTTTTATTATATTTAATAAAAAGTTTTTGACATAATTTTCAATATATTTTATTTTAAAGTCAATTTTATAAAAAATAAAATGCTAAAAATTTAAATACTGATAAGACAATCTTTAATATATCTATATTAAAAAAATTAAAAATGCAAACAAAATGCATTTTAATTAACTTCTTTTAATATTAAAAAGGATAAAAAATCATTAAATGATAGCTACAACAATTTAATAGCTATTAATTCGAATAATTTTGTGGTCATCTAAATTAAAACTTTTTTTATTTTTTTTTCTAGAAGTTATAACAAACAAAATTGTATTAGTAAATCAAGAAAGAAATCAAGTGATTAGAATCCTCTTTTAAATTAATAATATACTGTAAAAAATTATCTTTTATTGAAATAGATAGAATTTTCTATTTTAATTAATTTTTTTAGTTAAATAGTATTTTTCAATTTACTTGACAGTATATGCTTTTAATAATTAATAGATTTTATACGCTATATATAAAGATGAAATATCAAATTGCTTTTTGACCCCCAAATATATCATTTGTATTCAACAAAAAAATTGCTTCTTTTCCATGGATTTACTTATAAAATTGCATTATTTATCCAGTTTTATCGAGAAACTAATATAAAAACATTAATATGTCATGCAAATGTGTTAGCTAATTCTTTGTATAAAAATATAAATTCTGAAAAAGAATTATTAAAATTTGTCTTCTTTAATATTTACCTGAATTTCACAAAATTATTTGATCTAATTTTGAATTATTTTTCTTGTTTACTCCTTTATAAATATACTTTTCTCATAAAAAATAAACCCAAATAAATGGAGTGTTTTATAGTGTTAAAATAAAAGCTCTCTTTGAATTTAATATACTTAAAATTTTTCGTTGAAATGAAGATGGATGGCAAGCGAATAACCTTGCTTGTAGAATCTAAAAAATATTTTTTAAAGTGAAGTAAAATATTGCAATTAAAATAGAAAGATTAAAAACATTTAAGCTTTTAATTAAAATTTGTTATTTATTTATCTATATTATTACAAAACCTGTATTAATTAATAAAAAGCATTATTTACTTAACCGGCTTATATAAAGCCTGAATTAAAATAATTAAATTTATCTTGATAATCATAAAAGTAATAGATTTCTTATCCAAATTCTTTCTATAGAAGCTTTCTCCATTATTATTATTTTTTAAATATTCTCTCTTTTATGAATTTAAAAAAATGTTTTCCCTATTTGATTTCTTAAAATTAGCATACATATTTTCTCTTGAAACTGCTTAAAATTTATCTTTCAAATAAATGGGAAGCAAACATAAAAAAAGATAACATAATTTATTGATAATTATTTATTACTATAAATTTTTCAATAAGAATAAAAATTTAGACGTTGTTCATTTATATTTCCTTCGATTATTTTTTAAATTAACACTTTTTAAGCCTGAATTATATTTTTTATTCTGCGTGATTTAAAATTTAATTTGTTTACAAAATAAATATTTCTAATGCCTAAATTATAGTTTAAATTTTACATTATATTCTGATTGAAATATCATTTAAATTGTTAAAAATATAAACAATGAACATATTATTTGTTATGAGAAAATTGATATTATCTGTGATGGAATAAATGAAAAATCTTTTGGTTTTAATATTAATTTTCAAACATTTTCTAATTTAAAAATGATTTCCCCTTTATTTCAAAAACAAATAAACTAAGATTAAAAATTATTTAGTATTTAAATGCAGATGAATAAGCTTCAATTATTTAATAAATAAATAGAAACAAGCTTGAACTAACAAATGAAATTTGTAAGTTTGGTTGATAGATACTCCTCTTATTTAAATCATTATTATACTTAATAATATATTTATAATCCTAATCTTTTCGCTAAAGTTAAATTTAATAATCTTCGCCTTATCATATCTTAAGTATCAATTCAAGAAAAAAAAATAATCTAGGGAATAGCTAAAATTTTAAATATTTTAATTATAAATGATTGTTTGCTATTAAAAACAAATATTTCATTTAATTAATTAACTATATTTTAATTTTTTGTGAAGAAAGAATAGCATAAATAACAAAAAATTAGAGTATTTAAAAAGATATTGAAAAAGAAAGATGAAAAAATTAGTTCTGATTGATATAGCTTTAATATAAATTCCGAATTAAAAAGAAATCATTTCAAACATCTTTATGAACATATTAAAAAATATTTATTTTTGCTTTTATTCTAATTTAATTGAGAATATTCGAGGTTTACTTACAATTTAAATTAATTGTATTTATTTTCCTTTACAAATATGCAAAACAAATCTTTGCTAATTATTTATATTATATTATTAATATTTATATATAAATCATATTTTGTATTTATTTAATTTCTTCAGTTCCTCATCTCTTTCTTTTTCTTTGGCTTGTATCTCTCTTAATGTTGTACTTTCACCTGCCATATGGATCTGATCAAATTTCCAATTGGTAGCTGCTATCATTTTAAAAAAAGCAAGGTCGTTCATTCTTTACATTAATATACCTTTCTAATTGTCTTCTATAGCTAGTATTTGTCTCTTATGTTCTTTTTATATTATCTTATCAATATGATCTACAATTTAAATTAATTTAAATTGATAAATTATTATTTTATATTTGATAATTTAATTTATCAATTCAGGGAAAATTATATTAAAAACATTTTTATATTTTGACTATGTTTAGTTTTCCTATTCATTTTTTAAGGATAGATGGACGGACTTGATTAATTTATAATTTATTTATTATTATAAAATTTAAAAATGGTAAATAACATGTTATTTTTAAAGATTTTCGATTAAATAAAATTATAAAATATTTTATTTCAATAATTTATTTTTTAAGTAAGGAAATAATATTTAAATATGATTTATAGTTAATAATTAAATAAGTAGAAATTAGAATTCAAATTTAATATAAATTTATTTTTAAAGATTTTCAATGAAAATAAATTAAAAAATATTTTATTTCATTTAATTAAGTTAGGAAAAAATTTTTCAGTAAGATGAATTGTTAATAATTAAATAAGTAGAAATTAGAATTCAAATTTAATATAAATTATGATTGATAGATATTAAATACATTAAGAAAAATGAAGTATGAATGATTTAAATTATTACTTGATGTGAAAATTTTAAAGTGTAAATTTTATGTTGAGCATATAAATAGAAATCTAAAAATAAATTGAGAGTTGGCAGAAAATTTATAATTGATTTAGAAAATAAGAAATTCAGAAAGATATCGAAATTTAGAAAAAATCAGATTAATTTTTTATTATTAAAGAACTTTGAAGCTAGTAAAAGAAAATGACCTTTGTTTGACCTTTGATGCAAAAGACTTAAAAATCAAATTTATTTTTATTTAAATTGACTCGATTGCATGGTTGTTTAATAATAAGGATTTGTCATTTTTAAAATGAAATGAATCCCTTGATTAAATAGATAGACTATCTTTACAAGTGTCTGAATAGTAGAATAGCTTTACAACTTATTACTTGCTATACACTTTTAATATAATTTGTTGTTTGACTTATTTGATATTCTTTATTTAATTAATTAGTAAATTTATTGGTAATATCTCTGAAAATTAATTTGATTTTTACACGTTCTGAATTACTATTTAATTGGCCAATTAAGCCAATGCTCAGAAATTTCATTTAAATCATTTAAAAAAGCACTTAAAATTTAACGCTAGCTGCTTGCTTTTGCCTTATAAATTTATATTTAAAATGCAGATAAAAATCAAATAAAATGAATGATCATTTATTGGTTTGTAGTTTTTGAATAAGTTTGTAAAAACATATGTAAAAATGAATGAAAAAAGTTTTAAAAATGACTTTTTTAACAAGTAAGTAAAGCTAAATGGTATTAATTAAGAATGAATGACATACAAAAGATAGCTAACGAAAACAGTCTTTATTTTTTGAATGAGGTAATTAATTTGTTAATAAAATTGCAATAAAGATTCTCATTTAAATTGAGAGTGAGCTAGAAGATTTTATGAAAATAATTTAAAAAATAAATAATTTACAATCAAATAAGTATATTATTAAAAATGAATAGAAGCGTTTTGATCACTTTTATTTTCGTTGGTCTCATTATGAGCTCCGTCTTCGCAAGGAGTGTCTATGACCATAAGCAATCCCATGTCGCCGTCGTTTCCTCTCTTAACTTCATTAAGTTAGTTTAAAAGACCAAAGAAACCACCAAGACTGTATAAGTCCTCCACTTCTACAAAATGAATGGTAATGAATCAATTAATTATGACTTTATGGAGTTGTAAAATTTATTTAAGCTACCATTTTTAAACAAATTCGTATCGCTTAGCATCAATTTTAATAGCTAATTAAGCAATTATTACAATAAATTACAAATTTTACTTATTATATGCTTTAATAGATGGACATTCAACCAGAATCGCCAAGGAAGTAGACTCACTTGCAAACTAATACAGGGGTATATTTTAATTCGGAGCTGTCAACTGTGGTGAAGAACCCACTATTTGCGAAAAGGAAAAGATTACTTAATTCCCCACTGTTAGAGTCTATCCTCCTCTTCCTCTTCCCTCTATCGACATTGAAGTTCCTGCTGATTCTTTAGTTTCTAATGATATTCTCAAGCTTGCTTCAAGATATATCCATGATAATTCTGTTGAAGTTAACACTGCAAATATCGACACTTTCATTGCTGAACATCCTGCTGTCCCAAAGGTTCTCTTATTTACTGATAAGAAAGGAACTCCTCTTATCTACAAGGGTCTTTCCGTAGCATTAGAAGTAAGTGTTTCAAAATAATTGCATATTTATTTTTGGATGATGGAGAAATAATTAAAGCATAGTTTTTATAGATTTCACAAAAATGTCAAAAAATATCTTATTTACTTAATTTTATAAAGCTAAATGATAAATTTTATAAGATTAATGTTATTCATAGTATCTCCTAATATAAAAATGATAGATTTAATACAATAAGATTCACATAATTAAAAATTAATCATTTTTATTCATATAATAAAAGGGTAAAATATTCTTTGGTATCGTTCGTCACACTGAAGAAGCATTGATCAAGAAATATCAAGTTAAAAAATTCCCACACATCTTAGTCGTTATTGTTGGAGAAAGAAAGCCTATTCCCTACACTGGTGAAATGAAATATTAGGATATCTTCAATTTCTTAAATGTTTATTCATGTAAGATACTTTATTATTTTAAAAAATTAATATACTTTAAATTCCTATTCATTTAATAAGTAAATAAATCCAATATCAAATAGTCATAACAATTTTTATGAGCAATAAATTTTTTTATTATTTAGAAAATAAAGTAAATTAAAAAATAAGAGCAAGCAGTATATATATAAATAAATAAAAGCAAATTATAAAACAAGCTTTATCTGATCAAAAATTCTAGAAATTGATTAATTTATCTTTTTATTTTTAATAAACATAGAAACTTTCGTCCCAGGTGGTACCCAAGAATAATCCGCTACTAAATCATGGTTAAATGAGCTTGTTCCTGAAATGCACATTAAATCTGCTCGTGATATCTGTCTTGGAGTAATAAATTTTAAATATTGTTTTAAATAAATAGACTTTAAAAAAGAAAACATTTGATTTTCAGTTTATTAAAAAACAAATTTGAACAAACTAGTAGTAGATAATAAGTCAAAAATATCAAAAAAGCTTATCAATAAAAAGAATTGCAATTAAACTAACAACTAATCAATTAATTGGAATAGTTTTATTATTAGAAAATAAAAAATGAGAGCAAAAGATATTAATTAATTCAAAATATCATAAAATATCTTGAAACATTTATTAAATTTGCTTTTTTAATATTTAAATAGCAAGAAGGTATTCTTTGCGTTCTTTTGTTCCACTCTGGTAAGCCTGATGTAGCAATTATTGACACCTTTAAAACTCTCCACTCCTAATATGGTATTAAGCACGAGAGAGGTTTGCAATATAAATTCATGTGGATTGATGCTGCTCAAGAATAAAAGTGGGCTCAATTCTTCAAGTTCGAAGGAAGTCCTAAAGTTGTCTTGATCAACCCAGGCAAAAGAAAAAGAGTTCTTGATCACGAAGGTGAAGTAACTATAGCTGGTTTAAGTAATTGATTCTTATTTAATAATTTATTTATTAATTAACTAAACCTATTTTTCTAAATATTAGAATCTACTATTGAAAAAATTACAAATGGTGATGCAAGATTTAAAAGACTTGCTGACAGTGACATCCCTGAATTCTCGGCTGTCAGAAAGGATTTGTGATTAAGCTTCTTTGACTGCTGTTTAGTTAGTTAGTTAATTAGTTATAATCATAATGTTAGTTAATTTGCAAACAAAAAACTTAACAATAACTGCAAAATAATAATTATAAATATTTTCATTTAGTTAATTAAAGCTAGTTAGTTAGCTTGCTTATTTTTGTTAATTCCTCTAATTATTTCTATTTACAATTTATAATATCTGTCTTTGTAACATATCTTTAAATCTTGCCATTCTTTCATATTCACAAATCAAATTTAAATAAACATTCAAAAGCCATTTAACTAATTAATTTTAAACCCCCAATTTTATTTTACATTCCTATTTATTTAAACACCAAAATTTTATTTTCTTTCTTACTTTCTTCTTGCTAAATTAGATTAAAAAGAGTTATAAAAATCCAAATTAAATAAAAGAATCTAATATAAATTAAAATAAAACAAATAATATAACAAAAATAGATAAAATTAATCATAATCCTACAACAAAAAATCATAATTCTTTCTAAATTAAACTGTTTTCTATTTTTGAATATAAATTTATTAATTTTAAGGTATTATTTTTATTTAGGGAAGACTTTGGACTACTTACTGCCTTTTTATTAAATTTGATGTATTAGTAATTCTTTTCTAGCTAATACTAAGCAATGTCTGATAGCTTTATGTTTTTTTATATAAAAAAACTAATTGCAAATTAAAGTTAAAAACTAAAACAATAATTAAAACTTCCTCTCGATTGCTTTTTCTAAAAAAAATTATTTATATGAAAGGGTAAGAGAAAATTTTTCTGAAAAAAAGTTTCAAATTTAGAATTAATATTTTTTTAAAATTCGATACCTCTATTTTCAATAAATTTAATATACAACCCTAGGTCAAAGGGATAAATAATGAATCTTAAATTAATTTTTTGTGATATTTCTTCATAATAAATTTATCTTCAACAACTAATTATAAAATTTTATTAATCTTTTTATCCATCTAAAATTAATTTTCCATAAATTGCCTGCTATTCGATATTTTTGAAAAAAATAAATAAATGTTATAATAGATTAAATATTACAACATATTAGAAGAAGTAATTATTAATTTTTTTATTAATATCCTTTAAATTTATATAAATAAATAAAAAAGTTTTTAAACTCTTCACTTTTATCTCATGAGGTTCTTCATATTGATCTAAAGTATATTTTATTAATTTATAAATATTATAAAATTTTTTTTTATACTTAACTTTCAATTTATTTAAAAAATATTTTTTTAGTAGAAATTCTTATTATTATTCATTTATTTATTGATTTGTATTTATAAAAAAAATTTTTTACTATTTTAACTTAATTTTCATTTCAATTTTTTATTATTTCATATTATTTCTTCATTTTTTGCTTTTAACACTTACACTTAGGAAAAACAATTTATTTATTTTGTTTTTTAGCATTTTTTAATGATAAAAATTAATTTAAAACATTAAAGCTTTTTTAATTTATTTGATTTATTTTTCTTTTTCTTTTAATTGTGTTTCCTTGCTTTTTTTTCTTTCTTTATTAATTTAACTAATAATTAATATATTTTCATCATTTTTTCCTTCAAATTAACTAATTAATTTATATATTTTTTGTTCAATATTTTAAAAGTTTCAATTAAATTGGTGATGATAGTGCATCAGGCTTAGGTTCTTCTTTAGCAAAGTGTATTTATCTCTAAAAATTGACACTTGACCTTAGGTAAAAACATTTTATTTGTTTAGAATTGTGATATTTTTATTTGTAAAAACTAACTTAAAACAATAAAACTCATTTTTCTTTTTCTTTTTATCATGCTTGCTTTTTTTCTTCTTTCTTTGTTAAGTTAGCTCATCATTTTATTTTCAACTTTTTCTTTTATTATTAATTAATTAATCTTATAATTTCATATTTTTTCTTCATATTTTCCTTCTAATTTACTAAATAATTATATTTTTTTTCTTCAAAATTTAAAAAGTTTGAATTAAATTGGTGATGGTGGTGCATCAAGCTTAGGTTCTGCTTTAGCAAAATGCATAAATCTCTCAAATTTGACTCTTGACCTTTAGTAAAAACAGATTATTGATTGTTTTGGATTGTGATATTTTTAATTGTAAAAACTAATTAAAAACAATAAAGCTCTATTTTCTTTTTCTTTTTATTGTGCTTGCTTTTTTTTTGTTCTTTCTTTGTTAATTTAACTCATCATTTTATTTTCAACTTTTTCTTTTATTATTATTTCATATTTTCCTTCTAATTAACTAATTAATTATATTTTTTGTTCAATTTTTAAAAAGTGGCAATAAAATTGGTGCAATAGGTGCATAAGGCTTAGGTTCTGCTATAGCAAAATGCATGAATCTCTCAAATTTTACACTTTAACTTTAGTAAAAACAATTTATTTGTTTTGAATTATGATATTTTTATTTGTAAAAACTAAGTTAAAACAATATAGCTCTTTTTTCTTTTTCTTTTTATTGTGCTTGCTTTTTTTTGTTCTTTCGTTGTTAATTTATTTATTATTTTATTTTCAATCTTTGCTTTTATTATTAATTAATTAATCTTATTATTTCATATTCTCCTTCTAATTTACAAATTAATTATATATTTTTTGTTCAATATTTAAAAAGTTCCAATTAAATTGGTGCAGTTGGTGCATCAAACTTAGGTTTTGAATTATCAAAGTCCATTAATCTCTCAAATTTGACACTTTACATTGGGTAAAAACAATTTATCTGTTTAGTATCGTGATATTTTTATTTGTAAAAACTAAGTTAAAACAATATAGCTCTTTTTTCTTTTTTTTTTTATTGTGCTTGCTTTTTTTTTTTTTCTTTCATTGTTAATTTAACTCATTATTTTATTTTTAATTTTTTCTTTTATTATTAATTAATTGATCTAATTATTTCTTCATATTTTCCTTCTAATTTACTAATTAATGAAGTATTTTTTCTTCAATATTTAATAAGTCCCAATTAAATTGGTGCAACAGATGCATCAAGCTTGGGTTTTGAATTATCAAAGTGCATTAATCTCTCAAATTTGACACTTGACCTTAAGTAAAAATAAATTTATTTGTTTTGGATTGTGATATTTTTATTCATAAAAACTAAGTTAAAACAATAAAGCTCTTTTTTTTCTTCTTTAAATTGAGCTTGCTTTTTTTTTTGTTTTTTCGCTTTTAATTTAACTCATTATTTTATTTTCATTTTTTGCTTTATTATTAATTAATTAATCTTATTATTTCATATTTTTTCTTAATACTTTCCTTCTAATTAACTAATTAATTATATTTTTTTTGTTCAATATTTAAAAAGTTCCAATTAAATTGGTGAGGATGGTACAACAGGCTTAGGTTCTAATTTAGCAAAGTGCTTTAATCTTTCAAATTTGACACTTTTCCTTAAGTAAAAACAATTTAATTGTTTTGAATTATGATATTTTATTTGTAAAAACTAAGTTAAAACAATAAAGCTTTTTTTTATTCTTCTTTATATTGAGCTTGCTTTTTTTTTTGTTCTTTCGTTTTTAATTTAACTCACTATTTTATTTTCTATTTTTATTTTATTATTACATATTTTTTCCTCATATTCTCATTCTAATTTACAAATTAATTATATATTTTTTGTTCAATATTTAAAAAGTTCCAATTAAATTGGTGCAAAAGGTGCATCAAACTTAATTTCTGAATTATCAAAATGCATTTATCTCTCAAATTTGACACTTGGCCTTAAGTAAAAACAAATTATTTGTTTTGGATTATGATATCTTTATTTGAAAAAACTAACTTAAAACAATAAAGCTCTTTTTTCTTTTTCTTTTTATTGTTCTTGCTTTTTTTTGTTCTTTCGTTGTTAATTTAACTCATTATTTTATTTTCAATTTTTGCTTTTATTATCAATTAATTAATCTTATTATTTCATATTTTTTCTTCAAATTTTCCTTCTAATTTAATAATTAATAATATATTTTTCTTCAATATTTAAAAAGTTTTAATTAAATTGGTGATGGAATGGAATGGAATTTACTCGCACATGAAACATGCACTCAGAAAACATCTTAAAATAATTTTTTATTTATTTATTCATTTATTTATTTATTTTTTTTATATTATTTTTATTTTATTTTTTTTATATTTATTTTTATAAATATTTTTTTAGTAAAGTGCATTAACCTCTCAAATTTGGCACTTTAGCTTAAGTAAAAACAATTTATTTGTTTTGGATTGTGTTATTTTTATTTGTAAAAATTAAGCTAAATCAATAGAGCTCATTTTCTTTCTTTCTTTTTTTATTGTGCTTGCCTTTTTATCTTCTTTCATTGTTAATTTAACTCATCATTTCATTTTCAATTTTTGCTTTTATTATTAATTAATTAATTAATCTTATTATTTCATAATTTTTCTTCATATTTTCCTTCTAATTTACTAATTAATTATATATTTTTCTTCAATATATCAAAAGTGGCAATAAAATTAGTGCAATAGGTGCATCAGGCTTAGGTTCTGCTTTAGCAAAGTGCATAAATGTCTCAAATTTGACACTTAACCTTGAGTAAAAACATTTTATTTGTTTTGGATTAAGATATTTTGATTTGTAAAACCTAAGTTAAAACAATAAAGCTCTTTTTTATTTTTCTTGTACTTGCTTTTTCTCTTCTTTCTTTGTTAATTTAACTCATCATTTTATTTTCAACTTTTGCTTTTATTATTAATTAGTTAATCTCATTATTTCATATTTTCCTTCTAATTTACTAATTAATAATATATTTTTCTTCAATATTTAAAAAGTTCTAATTAAATTGGTGATGATGGCGCATCAGTCTTAGGTTCTGAATTAGTAAAGTGCATTAATCTCTCAAATTTGACACTTTACCTTTAGTAAAAACAATTTATTTGTTTTGGATTGTGATATTTTTAATTATAAAAACTAATTTAAAACAACAAAACTATTTTTTATTTTTCTTCTTATTGTGCTTAATTTTTTTGTTCTTTCTTTCTTTTTTAATTTAACTCATCATTTTTTTTTTCAACTTTTGCTTTTAATATTAACTAATTAATCTTATTATTTCATATTATATCTTCATTTTTTCCTTCTAATTAATTTGTTATTATATATTTTTTGTTAAATATTTAAAAAGTGACAATTAAATTGGTGATTCAGGTGTATCAGGCTTGGGTTCTGCTTTAGCAAAGTGCATTAATCTCTCAAATTTGACACTTGATCTTCAGTAAAAACAATTTATTTATTTTGGATTGTGATATTTTTATATATATAAACTATGTTAAATTTTTTAAGTTTTTTTTTATTGTGTTTGCTTTTTTTTCTTGTTTCTTTGTTAATTTAACTTGCCATTTTATTTTCAACTTTTGCTTTTATGATTAATTAATCTTATTATTTAATATTTTTCTTCTAATTAACAAATTAATTATATTTTTTGTTCAAAATTTAAAAAGTTCGAATTAAATTGGTGATGATGGAGCATCAGTATTAGGTTCTGAATTAGAAAAGTGCAATAATCTCTCAAATTTGACACTTTACCTTAAATAAAAACAATTTATTTGTTTTGGATTGTGATATTTTTAATTATAAAAAATAATTTAAAGCAACAAAACTATTTTTTCTTTTACTTCTTATTATGATTGCTTTTTGTACTTTCTTTGTTAATTTAACTCATCATTTTATTTTTAACTTTTGCTTTTGTTATTTATTTCTTATTATTTCATATTTTTTCTTTTTTTTTTCCTTCTAATTAGCTTGTTAATTATATATTTATTGTTCAATATTTAAAAAGTGGCAATTAAATTGGTGGTAGAATAGAATAGAAATACTCGCACATATAAATGCACTCAGAATACATCTTAAAAATAATATTATATTTTAATTTTCTTTATTTTTTATATATTTAATAGAAGTTCTATTTGAACTACCTAAACTACCTGTTTTAGGTAGTTTGTTTTTATTTTATTTTTTTTTTACTTTAATTTGATTTGTGTTTTTTTATCTTTTTTATTCCACTTATTTTATTTTATTTTATTCATGTATTTAAAAATAATTTTTAATTTATTAGTTTATTTTTCTTAATATTTATTTAAAATTTACACAAATTTATTATAATAGTTATAACTCAATCAATAAATCATAAGAATTAAAACTAATAAGCAAGTGTCTTAAATCAAAAAGATTAGTTGTCTTCCAAACAATATTCATATGAAAAAGTAGCGAAAAAAGGATGAATAAATATTAAACGTTTGAATCATTGTGTATTATATGTTTTGTAATATAATATTTTGAAAAAAATTTTTTAACCAAAAATATAGATAGATAGATAGATAGATAGATAGATAGATAGATAGATAGATAGATAGATAGATAGATAGATAGATAGATAGATAGATAGATAGATAGATAGATAGATAGATAGATAGATAGATAGATAGATAGATAGATAGATAGATAGATAGATAATTACATAATTAATTATTTCCATAAAATTGATGATAAAATTAATTTATCAAAAACCAATTAATAGTAAGCTTATTATCTTATCTGTGATAATCAATTTATTATATTTTTGTGCCATCTATTGTAACCTAAAATTAGACTTAAAAACATTTTAAACATAATTAAAATAATTTTAAGTAAGATTTTTTTCATAACAAAGAAATTATTGAAGTAGTTAGTATTAAATTAAAATTTTATGATTTTGTCACTTGTAAATACCTAATCATTGATAAAAAACAAACAACAAATTAAAATTTATGCTACTAAAAAGAGATAAATTTAATTAGATTTTTTAGAAGATTTTTTTTATTATTTTACTAATTTAGCTTCTAATTATGCTTTAAAAGAATAAATTAAATTAAAAGACTTAGTTTATTTACAATAATGATCAAAAATATTATTTCAACTAATAAGACATTTTGATAGAGAGTTATAATTAAGAAGTAAATTAAAATAATGGAAATTGCGCCTCTTTAATTAATATACAATATTCAAAATTCAGTGATTTATCAATATGAAATTGCTCTCTTACTTCAAAAAAAATCGAATTTTAAACCAATATTTTAATTAAATTAAAAACAAATTAAATATAATTTTTTACTAAGTTAAATTATCTATATATCTATCTACATGGTTAATAAAAAATATTTAAAAATAAAAATTTAATATTTGATTTTTTTATGTTTAAAAATAAGAATTAAAAGTTGAAGCTACAATATAGAAAACATAAAAATAATAATTTAAGTGATAATTTATTTTATTTATAACAAACATCTAACAAACAAATAAAAGTGCATTTCTGATTTCATAAACAGTGTTGCCTGAATCTAAAAATTACTATGTGGCTCATTACTTTTTTAAAGCAAAAAATGATTAAAATTTTTTTATTTTTTGAAATTAATTTTTTCAATGAAAGGAAAATTATAAATTAATTGATTTGTAAAAAAATGAATTAATTACCTTCTAATATTTTTATTAATGTTTAATAAAATCTTCTCTTTTTAGTAAAACTTTCAATGCGTTATACCCTATTTATTTATTTTATTCAAACGTTTAGGAAGAAAACTTACTTTTCTTATAAATAATTTTACTCTCTTTATAATAATTAAGTGGTAGATAGATAAATAGATATTCATATTTTGGTTACTTAATAAAATTAATTATTATTTTACCAGCTGTTTTAATTCAAACATTTCTTGATCGTATTTCATCCAAAATTATTTAAAATATTACAATCTATTATTATTTAAAAAATTTTTTAGATTCTTTTTAAATCATTCAAAATATTTTACAATCTATTTTAGAATTAACACATTTAGTTTGTTAGTTACATTTTTCAATTCCTTTCATAATTCTTACTCACTATTTTCATATTAAAATTAACACTTACCTTACATTAGTAACTTTCAAAAATATTACTATCTATTTTATT